AAATGGCTCCATCCATGTTAAAATATATTTAAAAAAATGTACAAAACTAAACAGCTACAGTATTTTTACAGTCTTTATTTTACAGTTAAAATAAAATTTTATCAAATAAAGTCTAATGTTACAACTAATCGAGGATCCCTTTAAAACATATTTCAGCACTTAGCGCTCAGTGTTCACTCAGTGTGAACACAGTGTGAACACTGAGTGAACACAGAAAATAAAATTCCTCTGTTGAAAGTTCGTCATTAGCATTCAACATGTTGTTACAACAGTGAACCCTTTGAAGGAGAAATGAGTGAACCTCTGGCCCCCTCAGGTGCTGTGTAACGTGGATGAACTGTTCCACAGAGATGAGCTGTCAGCAGCTCCGGACCCCGGCTGGCCCGACTGCTTCAACTCTGGTGTGTTCGTCTTCAGACCGTCCCTCCTCACACACAGCCGACTCCTGGACCACGCCCTGCACCACGGCAGCTTTGATGGTATTTACTCAATGATCTACAGCTTCAGAATGATTGTTCTCATACATCTACCTCTGCAGACTTGCTCTGTCTAAAGGTGCATCTATGACATGTTGCTCTTTAGTTTTAGTAGTCATTTAGTACCCAGAGTCTCCTGACGCTTATTTGTAGTCGGGTCATGGTCTCTTCCCAGTGGGACTTGACAGGAAAACCTCTAAAAGAGGCATCTAATCAGGTAAACGCACTCAATTGACAGGAGCAGCTCTTATCTGAACTGCCACCATGCCTCTGGACCTACAAAGGAAGATCATGTCAGCTGCTTGGATCCAGGATGTGGTTCTTTCAGTCTGATCCAAACCTCATGACCACAGGTGAGGGTTGGATTGTAGACAGACCAGTAAATACAGAGCTTTGCCTTTTGAATCAGCTCTTTCTTCATGACAATGGACCAAAGCAACGCCTTCATTACTGATGACAAGACCCTGATCCATGGATCCATCTCCCTCTCCATCCTACCATCACTGCTGAACAAGACACCCAGATACTTAAACCCCTGGACTTYTTCCAGCTGTAAAGACACAGTTTGGAGGTTGGGGCAGTGCTTAGGTCACGTGATTTTTGGACAAGAAGATCAGGCGTTGAAGGGTCAAACCCCAGTGCCACCAACCTCTGAGCAATGTTGCATGTGTGATGACTGAGAGACAAAGAAATGAAGCCATGTCGACTCAGACGTTGCCTGGATTAACAGGGTCTCTGTCAGACGGTTGGAACCAGGACATTCTGATGAGAAATGATGTATTCTATAAATATTTTTTTCATTTAATGTATCAGGAGGTGACCAGGGCCTGTTGAACTCCTTCTTCAGCAGCTGGCCAGTGGAAGACATCAGTAAACATCTGCCATTCATCTACAACCTCTGTGCCAGCACCATCTACAGCTACCTCCCTGCTTTCCAACAGTGAGTGTGTGTTTGTTTAGTTTTAAAACATTAACATTAACACATCTGAACGTTTAACCACCAAACTATATGATTTAAGGTAGCAGTTCAGTGTTTCCCCTAGGAAACTGGTCGTTGGCGGGGTGGGGGTGGGGGGGATGTTGTTTTATAAAAACATAAATTTACTTGACTCACCTGCAATTATGGTAATAAATTTACACATACACGAATATTTAATTGTCTAACTACATCGTAGTTAAGGACTCCTCATGATAATTATCAATAAAATGATTATTGATAATAAGTGATCAGAACTGTGTGCAGCAGATGATCTGAGTC